GCTATAATCTATTTCCATTCGTATACAAATCGGTTGAACAGAAAACCATAAAACACCCCACACAAAGAATCTTTATGTAAACACAACAAACATAAAAAGCGTTATATCTGTTGTTTTAAGTCATTTCGAGAGTCATTAATTACAAAGCATTGCTTGTATTATATCGCGGCAGCCTGCATATAATATGGTCGCATACATAAGTACACTAAAATAAGCGTTTCTTAGAACCTATGATGTTTCTATTAGGTATTTAAACAATCATTTACAAAAATCGATTGCAAATTTTAGATATGCATTGATCCCAAACAATAAAAAAAAAACAATTAAAAGAGAGTTGGTGACTTCGTTTGGAACAAACAAATTTAATTAAGGTGGCTTATTTTCCCGCTTGATCCAAGGGAGACAAATAGTCTAAGTAAAATTTATGTATCGGAATCAAATTCAATTTCGTCTTTGCATTTTTTTTTACTGGAATTTTTAGGACCAAGTTATTTCAACATTTACAGAAAAAGAAAAATATGGACATACCGTTTGAACTGTTTTTAAATATTTTTTCTTTATTTTTGCGCTTGTTGTGTAAGAATTTATATGAACCGCCTTGGGTTGGCAGACATAATTCGTGCCGAATAATTTTTTATTTTGCCGATATGTTGATTTTCTTATATGTTTTTGTTATCAAACACGTCTTCTTCTTCCTCATCATAAGTGTGAGTAAAAACTCCACTCGCATTGCAGAAGATTTGCCAGTATCGCAGTACTACTAGTACCAGTATTGCACTTTGATGTTCCTCCTCGTCATTATTCGTAGTCTAGATATTTTACGTTTTGCATACGCTGGATGGTAACACCATCTATATACCAAAATCTAGCATTTTCCATACTCGCCTTATAGATACTAATATAACGAAATATTTATAGCGTTGGATTCTCTTGCATCGCCTACATACGTTAACTACCCAGGCAGAAAATTTGATCATCGGTATAATATTATTATATTCATTATATTTGTAATAAATCTGAATCGTTTGAAATAACAATTTGTAAATATAATATACATTTATTTACATAACATAATATACAATATTTTATTATATACAATATTAGAAAACTATAATAAAAAAAAACTAAAACTAAAAACTTAATCATACATATCATACAGTCCTACTCCCCGTGATATCGTGCCAAGAACGTTGGCTGCGTTTCCCCGCTGAATGGCTATACTTAGCCTTTGAGCGAGAAAAGAACCAGCCTTCTTATCACCGGCAGCAATATTAAATTATATATTATTATATAGTGTGCAACACTTTCAGATATTCAGTCATCTTTTCTCTTAATATTCTTTGTAATACTTACTTTTACCAATACAAATAAAAATGTACTATTTCGTCACTTTTATTTCTTTCAACCTGCGAAATTTGTTTTCTAACAGGATTTTTCTAATCTTCTTTAGCATCGTTTATATTGATTATAGCGTTCCTCCTGCCTAATTTATATTCAGTTAGTGTTTTTTCATCACGCTCTGTGCTTAATATCGCAATTTGTACCGTAGTTGGCGTAAACCGAGGGGACCTGTCACCTTACTCGCGGACATTCCGTCTTTCTTTCGCGAACCTGTTTCGTTGCTAACACGTATATTTAACTTTTTACATAAATACTTTGTATGTAATAAGCTTAGGGAAATGAGCATAATAACGCACATCATATAATGAATGTGCGTTATTCTTACATTGGCAAAGTAAAAATCACAGGCGCTTCGTCCTACATCTGGGCACAGGCTAAATCCCATTTTTGAGAGGACTATGCAGCAGTTATTTCTCCGCGCTGATTTAGTGCGTGTTGGGATTTTACACGTACATTTTTCCTTTACATCATTTAGTATTTCAAATTGCAATTAACAATAACATTGGTGGTGGCGTGGATCTAACTCGGCTTCCACGTTTTTTTTTTGCATAAATGGATAGTAGATGCTGTGGTCTATTTCTATCTTTGGTTAAAAATTAAAATGTAAATGCGATGTTATACCTGCGAACTATGGCGGAATCTCGTTATCTCTAAATAATACTTCGGTCCTCGTCATTCTATGAAACGCGACATGATGGTGCTGTTTTATGCTGTTGTTCTGTACCTAGATCAATTCGTGCTGAGGCCGTAATATAACTGTATCGCGGCTCTACCACGTTACTCTTTTGCTTCTTATTCTCTTGCCACAGCTTCGTTGTTGTTGTCGACTGCGCAGTATTAATTACATTATTACATTAGTGTTTGTGTGCAATCAAAAGCTGAGGCTCTGATTCCTCAAAGTCTACCTGTAATCGGCAATCCGATTCTGTAATAAGTGTTTTCCGAAACTTTTGATTGTTTACTCGTTATAATTACAGTCTATATAAAGACCACTGCTGAACATAGGTTTCCCCCATTTATTGGGGGATATTTGCCATAATTGACAAACTTGGCAGGGGACTTGGTGACCACGAATTTTACTATTGATTTGTTATCATTAAAGGCTGCTACCCAACTCTGGTTTTAGTTTCTCTCTGTTGCCACTTACGACATCCAAGGGATGATCCCCTACCCTAGTAGGGGATTCTCTTGCGCTACCACTCTACTGCAACGTTGGAAGAACTAACTTATTTTGCCACCTTTTTACACTACCATTACCGCTAAACATGTATTAAGCATTTCTTAAATATTGTAGTTGTTCTAGATTGTTATTGTTGATATAGAATATTTATTTAAAAAAACTTTTCGCATGCCCGTAATAGATGAATATTATAGCTATTAAACCAAAGAAACTGATCATTAAGCAGTAGCAATTATGAATCAATGTTTATTTTTAATAATGTCCGACATTGTTTGAATAAAATTATGTTGCTGTCATAACGTTCTTCATAATAAGAATGCCATCTAAAAGGTTGGAGTTTTTGCAAAAGTCGGGCGCTCATGTCTGCGGTCGGTACAGACAGACGCGAGACGAATTCATTACGTTTACAGCGGTCTAAGTTTAGTAGTTCAGTCAAATGTTTGTTATTCCTTTTAGATTTGTTTAAATATTTAAATAATATTTTTTTAAATTAATGTGTCTTCAAAGATAATTTTTGGTTATAAAAGTTCATTTTCGAATTTAATTATTTATTAATTCTAGCACAACTTTTCGTGCATTCACGTTAAATATACGCCAATAATGTATTTATTAGTATTTATAAATTTCAATTATTGTTACTTGAAATAAATATTAAATAAATTAAAATTAAAATTTTTGTTATTCAAAAAGGAATAAAATATAAAAAATTATATCCAAATTTTTTTTTTTTTTATAATTAATCTGAATTTTTGACAGAATTTTGCTATAGGTACAAATAATGTAAGTCTTTAGTTTATAGACCAGACAAAAATTAAGATCAAGTAATTAAATATTAACGTATGGGTTTGCAAGTCCGGCGCGGAGATCGCGACGCGTTCTGCAAAAATCCCTATTCAGGAGTTTGAAGGGCTCAAAAACTGTGGCGCCGCAGATCAATTAGTTCCAAGTAATAAACAAAGAAAATATGCTAGTTATGAAAAGAATTCGGCTGCCAGAAACTTCTTTTGCTACATCAATCAAAATCATACTGATAATGAAATCATCATTTGGGTGGCCATAGAGAAGCTGGTTCGGAGAATTTTGCTCCGTCTCCGATGTGCACCGTCGTCATTATCACATTCCTGATTTATTAATTAGACGTTAGATGATACTACGGCTTGGATGATATAAATATTTTTGAATAGGAGTGTAGGTAATTGCCACAAAAAAATGCATAAATTCATAAACGGTTTGTTGTTTGGAAACAACTTGACAATCAATATCCTAAGGCTTTCAGTTTAATTTATATTTACAGTGTTTATGTATAGTGTTTAATCGTGTAAGTGTGACAAAGTGAAACTGGAACAGGAAATGGGTAGCAGCAACTTCCTTAACTCAAAATAATAAAAAAACTGCGGTTGCCAACCCGTTTGCAAAGTCCCTCCCATTAGGCAATCTATGGGGGAGACCTATGTTCCTATGTATTGTTCAGCAGCGGACTTTTGTAGGCCGTAATGGATGAATTGGATGGATATACATCTATCCAACAAATAGTAAAACTGAAATACGCCATAAAAACGCTCGCACAGGTATGTTTTTTTTTTTAAAAACGATACTAATAAAAAACACTAGGATTTTCTCCTGTATCGTGGAGGCAGTTTACAAACGCAAATTTCACAAGGACAAACATCCAAACCCGGAACAATTATTTGTAGGCCATACAAATACTTGTTCCGTGCGGGATTCGAACCCGCGGCCCCTAGCGCAGCAACTCATTGCTAAGCCACTGCGCCACGTAAGCTGTCAAGCCGTTTGTATTCAAGTATTAAGGGTTATAGTAGGGCTTCATGTCTGCTCCTTGTAGATAAGCACTACTCTCCTTTCACTTACTTTTTAACCAAGCTGCATTGCACTCACGGTCCATGTAATTACAGGCTGTAAGGTATTTTACATTAGTCTTCAGAGAAAACAGCTCATCTGGGTCCATTTTGTTTGAAGTTTGTTGAAGGTATCCATGGATTGAAGTAGTTATTTACCATCAGGTATACGACAACAGTTAACTCGTTTCTTATTCTAATATTTAATAAAAAATTAAGAATTTATACAAATATTAAGAGTGTAAGTATAATAAGATGTAACTTTCTAATACTTGTCTCGTAGGAGATTCCATATTGCGTCGGACATCAAATCTCGGTGTGTACAATATTAATCAAAGTATTCTCAGTTAAAATATCACTATAAAGTATGATTCTGATAATCTATAAGTTTAACGGGAAAATAAAAAAATATTCACGATATTTAAGTACGATAATTAGGCATTATCAAGTAACCAAGATTTTAATTATATTTTTATGACTCGTTAGGCATTAAATCTTTACTAACATTGATAAACCACGGAATTAAACTTCAATATGGATGTAGCGGTGTGCTAAAACCTAAAATGATATATTACTTGTTATTTTTGACATGGGTATCGATATATTGTCTAGATGGTACGTGATTTGCCTTTAAATCTCTGTGAAAAGCGCTAATATTATAATTAACTTTAAATTAATTAATGCTATTTGAATATCCACTACCGCATACGAGTTGCAAGGGGCAACGAGGGAAGTTGAACCAGGAAATAAGCAGTAACACTTTCGTGATAACAGGTGAATAAAAATGAAAAGCTGCGGTTGCCAACCCGCTTGCCAAGGCCACGCTTTTAGAATATAGCCTCCCCCCTATGAAGCCTATGTTTGGCAGTAAACTGTTCATAGGCTGTAATAGTGGAATAAATTTTAATATAATCTGTATTTTTTGGTTTGTAGACGAAGATTTTAGAAAACATTACGGCCTGAGTTTCCACAACCAATGTGGTGATTATGTTAAGAGCTTTAAATGTATGACTACGTGTAAAATGATGGGATTTCAAATTTTTCGCATGAACTATAAATGCAAATGCTCGTGCCATGAAATGAAGACTAGTACTGTATTGCCGTACTTTAAATGGAGGACCAATGGTACTACCAAAACAGTCCCCAAAACGCAAAGCCCTCGTCTTTACGACGTGGTTGGTAAATACACTGAAACTGAAACTGAAACACAAACAGAAACGAATGTATCGGATGCCGATGTTGTTGTAAACTTCACATGTCCTACATTGAGCTATTCTACATCAAACAATACTACATCAAACTATACAACATCAAACTATACTACAACTATTTCTTCGGATGATGATAGAGGTAATGCTACCAGCACTGCAGATGGCTCTACTCAAGGTGGTGATACAAATACCACACCTTCAACTACACTAGCAGCCGAATAGAAAAGTAGCTTCAATTTCTGTTAAAACTTTATACCTAATCTTTTAGCATTACGTGTGTAATATTTGTAATATACAATAATAAAAAAGTGATCTTATTCTAATAAAACAAAATAAAATTTTACTTTATGCCGTATGAAAATATTTAATATGACAGATATGTAATTAGTCCAAATAAAAGATGAAGATGTAGTTATTATTTATTTTTCACCTTCATCAATCGTTAAAAGTCCGCTCTTGGACATTCGCTTCTGGTGGGAGCTTCTGGGAGAGGTGGGTAAGACTTATATGCCACGTTCGTTTATTCTCTTCTGTTTCTTACCCAGCTAGTTTACAAATCTTACTTTTACCTTTGCGAAAACTAACATATTTACGTAAATGAGATAAACTTTTAAATGCCTTTGCCAAATGTGTATTTTGAAGTGATGGTTTATAAAATAAAACAAACTCAGGAGACAACAATAATTTTACAGATTTTATTCTTATATTATTACTTGTTTGTATTGCTGACATATCTGGTGCCTTGCAGCACCCATAGTCACGAAGGACTGACGTTTGTAATGTACTGATGTTGAAGTTAACAAGGAGTATCTGGAGTTTTTTAATTTTGATCTGATTATATCTAGAAGTTATGCAATTTGTATGCTTGGATTTAGTTTTAATTGTATAAATAACAGGGTTCCCAAGCAGTTACTAGCACCCACCCTTCGTTTCTATTGAAATTAGGTTGGTTTTTTTTTTGGATTAGGATGAGGATGTAATTTCAATAGCCTCATGGATGTTCTTTGATAGGAATCGATTTCCATAAGTACTGGAAGACAAACATTTTCTCATTTTTAGGTATTGTCAACCCTTGCTATACTGGATCCCTTTCCCTTTCAAACTGAAAACACAACATTTGTTGCAAGACAGAAATGGTTCCCTAGAAAATATACATGTAATATCTCCTTGTCGCCGTGAACGTGAATTGGTGGAGAAAGAGAATCCACTACTCCATATGGTTCCGTGGGTGTAGTAAGACGTGACCGAGGGAAACTAAAATAAGCAGTAGCAGCATATTCATAATAACAACTCATAATAAAAAAAAAAACTGCAGTTGGTAACTTGTCTGCAAATTGTATTAACTATGGCATATTTCAACATTTAAGAGGCAATTAATTATTTCAATAATTGGATTTGAAGTTTGATATTGATTGAGGAACATGGCAATAATCCTAGCGTTATATTTATTATACTTTTTTAATTACATGGGTGGGAGAATTTTAATTACAAGCATCATATTGTTTCGTTTACGACCTGTTTGTATGGAGATATAATTGTTTGGCAAGATAGTTAATACTTGAAGTTTTAAAATGGAAACATTATTTGTATTTGTTCTCTTTACATTTATTGATTTTTTTGCATGTGAAAGTATTGTAAAGTCTACAATAGGTAATTAAATCAGAATTTTAAATCTAGGTACCAAAAATGTATTACCTAGCTTTCCGCAAGCTTTCCTAAATTCATTTCACTACTCTCTTAAAGTGATTGATCCCTGCAGAAGAGTAAATAAGTTTATATAGTAATATTTTTTATTTAAAAAAAAAATACTTTAATATAAAGTATATATTCCAGTCCTGGTAAATTAAATATCCAAATGCAAACCACATTAAGATGCGGTACACTCTCAAGTCAACATATCAACGAACGAAACTTTGCGACAAACTGATGATAAAAAATTCTTCCCATATACTTGACTGGGGAGCAGCAGCACACAACAGGAAATATCAGCTCAACACTCCCCGAATTGCCTGTACAGCGTAGTAAGTGTAGGCAAACCTTCCCAGCAATTAATTTGATATATCTTGGAAAGGCCTTTATTCAGCAGTGAATTGTTAACGTTTATAAAGAAGAAGAACACGATAGGAGTAGGAGACGCAAAAAGACAACTTCCTGTGCTTTTTGGTTTTGGAAATATGGGAAAGTATAGGTCTAATGGTAGATTTGTAATAGACTGTAAAATATTTCAATTTAATTCAGGTCAAAGTGATCTATTAATGTCATTACTTATTGTTTACATTTACTAGTTTTTTTTTCAGTTTTCATACCTACAGATTTAAATAACTCTCTAAGCACTATATCAGGTAAGATTTTAGATCAATAACACAAATAAATTTGTATCTCGATTCATTAAAAAAATTGTAACTTTATTAATCAGTAATAATATAATAAGTGTTAATTATTTTAACAAGTTTTAGGCAAAAGGCCTGCGCTGCGCTATGGTTTTCACAAGACTGCGGACTGTTACAGTTTTGAGAGGTCATATTTATGCATAGAAAAATGTATCAGTTTAAAATATGATGTCGCTTATGCAGATAAAAACTGTCAATGTACTTGTTATGTTAAGAGTGACTTGGCAAAACACAGGCCCCTTTGGGTAAGCACGCAAACGCGATTGCGATTGACTGCTCCGACAACGTCAATTCCAGCTTGGGCACATCCAAAACATAAATTTAAAATACTGAATAAAGAAGATGACGATAGTGATGAAAGCATTAAAATAGATTCTCTTAGTGCGGATGCTCCTGGTGCTACGGGTGCTCCTGGTGCTACGGGTGCTCCTGGTGCTACGGGTGCTACTGGTACTACGGGTGATCCTGGTACTACGGATACTCCTGGTACTACTAATACTCTTACTGTTACTACTACTCCAGTTACACAAAACAAAACGACAACTCAAATGATTAATAATCACGACACAAATCCAAACAGTACTAGCACAGAATCTACGACCATTACTACTACAGTGTCTTCAAATAAAACATTATAAAATACAAATAGGAATTTTTAATAAACAACATGAACTTAAAAATATTTTTTAATTTTATATTTTTTATTTCCATATTGTGTCTATTGTGTCAGACAGGGTTGTGTGGCTTTCCCGTGGCTGTTCAACCTATTTATGGAAAGTTGCTTGGAAAATTTGAAAGTGGAAGAATGCTAGTTAAGAATGGGTGAGTAAACCGTCATAATATGCCTTGCCTTTTGTACGCCGATGATCAAGTCATTCTTGCGTCGTCGGCGGCCGAATTGCAAATTATGGTTACATTAATGAACAGGACATTAAAAGAAAAGGGAATGAAAGTGAACGCAAGTAAGACAAAAGGTATGGTTTTTGAAAGAGAAGAAAGTAAAACGATATGTGAAATAAGAATAGAAGGGGAGTTGGTCGAACAAGTAGATGAGTTTGTGTATTTGGGTTGTGTATTAGAAGGGATGGTAGATATGATAGGGATATAGAACGACGAGTGAGCGCAGGCAATAGAGTGAATGGGGCTCTACACCCTATTGCGAGAAGTCAGAATGTGTCCAAAAAGACACGTATGGCAATTCACAATGCTGTGTTAGTCCCTACTTTAATGTATGGTAGTGAAAGTTGGGTGTGGCCGAAGAAGCACGAGAGTAGAATAAATGCTGTAGAAATGCGATCATTAAGGAGTATATTAGAGATGCATCTGAATGACAGAATGAGAAATTGTGTGATAAGAGAAGAGTGTGGTTTGCAAGATGATGTTGTGACCAGGATTAAGAAGGGAATGCTTCGGTGGTTTGGTCATGTAGAAAGAATGAATGAGGAAAGAGTGACAAAGCAAATATATGTTGCAGAGGTGAACGGTAGAGTTGGGAAGGGACGCCCTAGGCGAAAATTTATCGACCAATTGGCGACATATTAAAAATGGACCAGATCAAGAGTACCTTTAACCGACGAGCGTGTATGCGTAGGTATATGGATGTGGAGGAACCGAGAGAGGCGTGTCAGGATCGTACCAAATGGAAGTCTGCCTACCCCTCTGGGTGACAGGCGTGAGTGTAAGACATTTTCAAATTATTAATGCAATTGCAGGCTGATGATTTTGTTTGAAAAGGTGTTATATTTAGATTATGAAATAATCGTAGAGGAATATTACCACCTAATTAAGGACTAAGAGGTCGAGAGATTTCTTAAAATTATTATTTATTATTTTAGTGATGATTGTATCATTAAACAAAGTAAACTACGTACTAGGATTCCTTTATTACGTAGTTACCGTACTTTTACCCATTACTGCCGCTAAACTGTGTACTGCTATGTTCCTGCCTGAAGGTATAGAGAACCAGTATAATTACACGCTATGCGGCATCACATCTTAGTTTTCAAATGTGACCCGGCATCTGTAGAAAGTTAGCAACGTAGGCATGTTTATACTCAAGCATTATTTAGGTAGGGTCCTTCTTGATTTATTGTGTTCCTTATACCTATTTTTTTGACCAAGCAGCTGTGTACTCAGTAATAAAACGTTATAAGGCATTTCATTTTAGTCTTCAGGGGAAACAGAGCATTTATTGTTTAATAAAAATACTAAATAACGAGTACAATTAAATCTAAAGTAGAATATGTACAACAACCGGTCTTATCACTCTGAACGTGAACTCTTCCAGACAACCTTAGTGTAGATAATTGATGCAAACAATAGTTAAAAATAGAGGGGGGCGTACAAAATAAAAATAAAATATGAAAATACATATAAATAAAGATAAGTGAAGATTATGTATTATAATAGATTAAATGAAAAGAGTACGAAAAAGGAAAGTAATTTAGCTAATAGCGTTGTAAGTAATACGATTTAACAAGACTTTTGAAAGAATGAAGAGATTGAGCACGACGAATATGGAGAGGTAAAGAGTTCCACAAACGTACAGCAGTTACAGTGAAGGATTTCTTAAAAAAGGAGGAAGAGTGCGAAGGAGTAGAGAGAGAAAGATTGACAGAGGGTCGAAGGAACCTATTATGGGTAAGGGAAAGATACTTGAAACGTTCTTTTAAATTATGAGGAGTGGAAGGATTATATAGCACGCCATACAAAGCGGAGAGAATGTAAGAATGAGTATTCCTTCGAAAGCGGATCGGGAGCCATTTGAGTTGTTTGCGAATTCAGAGATATGATCATATTTGCGAAGTCCAAATATAAATCTCATACATAAAT